GTGTGTGTGTGTGTGTGTGTGTGTGTGTGTGTGTGTCCGCCACACATCTGCACGGTGCACAGCTCCATGGGACAGGTAGGGACAAAGCTGGTTCCTGACCTGGGCACACACCTGCACAGCCTTCCTGGCACATGCATGGCAGGGCCCAGCCTGCCCTGTCACTCACTGGAGGCCGTGGCTTTGATCACGTAGCTGTCAGTGCCCCCTCCCCCACATCTCTCCAGTGAGTTCCGCCTGGGCCCTGCAGATGGACCGCTCTGGGGTCGGAGGGAAAGAGTGTGAGCAGACGCCAGGAGGAGGGAGCGCCCCAGCTCTCTGGAAGGACGGGCCTCAGAGCTGGGCAGCAGAAGAGCAGGGCTCAGGGCAGGGGAGGCGAGGTGACCACTGGACATCTTGGCGTTCGTGTCTGCTGTAGCTTGCGCGTTGCTGCTGAGCGAAGCAGCCGTCTGGGCCCTGGGCACCAGGCTGGGAGCAGAGGGACTGGCAGGGTTGTTGCTCTGCTCAGGGGCACCCCAGGCCCTGTGCACCTGACCTGCTCTGGCCCACAGAGCCCCAGTCTGAGTGGGTAGCCAGCGCCATGGACCTGTGAACTTCTACAGTGGACACTGACCATGGACTTGGGCAGTGGGAATGCAGTGGGGACATGTAGGAATCCTGGCATCTGGCTGGACACGGTGGGCCAGAGCAAGGAAGGGGTCAGGGATGGAAGGTGAGTGTTAGGCCCAGGTGACGAGGCCTAGCATGGGTCAGATACGGGACCAGCAAGGTGATGCCAGGCTGAGGGACAGCAGGTCTGTGAGACTGGGGCACGGACCTGAAGCACAGTTGTAGGCACTGCCACACAGCGTGGGGGCCTGTGGGGGGCACGCCCGAGTTTGCATGTCCACATGCACATGTATGCACAATCGTGTGCACACGCACACACCTACACTCATGTACACATGCACACACATGTCCTCACATGCACACACCTATGTACGTGTACACATACGTGCACACACATACACACGTACACCCATGCACACCCATGCACACCCATGCACACTTGCATGCATGGCCCGAGGCAGGCCCTGCTGAGGCTCTTTCTGGATGTGCAGGAGTGCCAGCTGGAGGAGAGCTGGGGCTGGTCCAGGCCGGCAGCCGGCTCCCCCCGTGCACCTACCTTGTTGAGGGCCTTGTAGGGCTCGGGGCTGCTGAAGGAGAAGGGGGCCTCTCTGCGGAACTTCTCCCTGAACTCCTGCTGCTTGATCTGCAGGACAGCGGTGCAGAGACGTGTTGGCCCAGGCCCACCCCAGCCTGGCACCCCCGAGGGGGCCACAGCCACTCTGCCCCTGCCCCCGCGCGGCCCTGACCCCGTCACCATACCTCGAATTGCTGGCACTTGCGCCGCAGGATGCTGACCTCGTTGGCCTGCAGGGGAGCCACGTTCTGCTTCACCTGGATGGCCAGCTTCTTGGTGTTGGCCCACTGCTCGGGCAGCTCCTGCGGGGCGAGGGAAGGGGGTCTTTTCCTTTTCCTTTTTTCTAAACTTGCTGTTGTGAGATGATCTCTGACACATGAGAAGCTGCATAAGCGGCCCATGGACACCCTTGGCAATGGCGAGCCAGGACGCTGGGCCGTGCACTCTGCTGCCCACAGGTGTCGGAGCCTCCCCTCCCCTGCCCTTTCCTATCGGAATCACACGCACACACGTGTGTGTGAGCATGCGTGTTTGGGGGCGTGTGGTCCTCTGCAGTCTTGCCCCAGGTGGCGATCTGGGTGACCACCACCATCAAGGTAGGACTTACCCGTCCCCTTTCACCTGCCGCCTGGCACCCAGGAAGCTGCCCCCCTTCACGACCCCACCCCTCCAGGATGGCTGTTCTCTGTCCTGGCAAACGCTGCCCTTATCATCATCAAAGGTTTTAAAGGAAGCAAGCAGATTCCTGGCCTGTGAACTCTGCCTACACACGGAGGGCCGCCCTGCTTCCCCGGGTGGACCAACTTGGGGTCTGCTGCAGCAGGGGCTCAGGCACCGCCCTCACATCCAGTGGCCCCACGTGTGGCCTAGGACCCGCGGGGCTGACCGAGTGCTCCCGTTCACCAGGTCCCGGAGGGCCTAGGACATGATGGCAGAGCACCACGTGTGGTCCCAACCTGACAGGCCCATGGCAGGCTCTCAGCAGCACAGGGTGGCCCTGGCCACCAACCCCAGGGGGCTACAGGGTCCTTCCCCTGTGGCTCCTGGGAGCAGGTCTCGGCACGGCAGAGTTGGTGCCTGGCGGACGGGACACAGAGAAGAGAGAGGAGAGACACAGGCGGTCTGGGAAGGCCCGTGTCCTTAGTGGCCTCGGAGGAGGCTGGGCAGTGCCAGCCCCTGGCCCAGGCTGCCCACACCTTCTTTGATGCTGACAACTGACCACCACTCCATGGGCTGTAAAGTGCTGTGTGAGGGCAGCTTCTGTCCCCGCTCCCTGACCACCTCCTCTCCAGGGGTCCTCTGTGACCTGGGTCTCCCCCCACCTCCTTGATGGTGGACCCAGTGTCAGGAGAAGGTGTGGGACACCAGGACCCTTTCAGCCTAACGAGACCATCGGAGGGGACCCCTGGACCCTGGAGGAGCTGCCCGAGGAGGCCCATCTGAAGCTGCAGGTAGGTGCCCTGAGCCCTGACCTCCAGAAGCCTCCTCTTTCCCCAGGGTCCGAGTGCCCCGCCTGCTGCTCCGGGACGCTGTCTCCACTGGGGCGGGCGGCCAGGGCCCAGGGCGCCTACCTGCAGCTTCAGGTGGGCCTCCTCGGGCAGCTCCTCCCCGTAGGTCCTGAGCAGCTCGATGGTCTGCTTCAGGGGCTCGAACATGCCGTCGGTGGCCGCCTGCCTCTCCTTGACCTTCATCAGGTGCCCCATCACCTCCACCAGCCCGTCGTAGTCTCCCTCCTTGAGCGGCTTCTTCAGGCCCAACTGGGACAGCTTCATGAAGGCTTCCAGGTCCGTGAGGCTGAGGGACCAAGGGAACCTCGGTGACAGGCCCCCAGCCCCGGGGCACCACACTGCACAGGGACTGGAGGCCCTCAGAGGAGGGGTCAGTGGTGAGGCCCTGCCTGGAGAGGGAGGGCCGCTGGCCCCCTTGCGTCCCCTGTCGTCACCCAGGCCCGGCCAACGTAGCTGGAGCTGATGTGGGAGTCCCAGCTGGGGGCTGGGTGGGCTGGTGTGGGACGCCCTCTCTGGGCAGCGTGCCCGTCACAGCCCGACTGCTGCCTGTACTTCAGTTCCGGGGCGTCTGCTGGGCTCTGGGCCCCCCAGGGTCTCCCTGGCGTCTGACGAGGACACTGTCGTGCTCCATAAACAGGGGTTGACGGCGGGGACACCACTGCAGGAACCTGCCCTTGCTGGGGGGCTCAGGGCCCGCCCGGGATGTCCTGGCTTCCTTCCCAGCCTCCCCACTGCGGAGCGCGGGCCGCGGAGGGCGGGCGCCTGCCCACCTGTTGACGACGTAGTCGCTCAGGTACCGCTTGAACATGAGGCTCCAGCGCTTGATGGTGTTGAGCAGGGCCTGTCTGAAGGGACGGCAGTCGCACTGCAGCCAGCCGTGGAACACCTTGGCGCTCTCGCACCTGGACACCTCCTCGTACAGCTTCTCGTACGAGTCGATCTGGAAAACCAGCCGCCGGCCGTCAGGATGCCGGCCGCCCTGGGCCTCCTGGTCGGGCTGCAGAGGGCAGCTGCCCGGCTGGCGTGCTCCCGGGGGGCCCTGGTGACAAGGTGTTTTCTCCCCAGGGGGCCTTCTAGCCCACGTTCACCCCGAGAAGGGGGTGGCCTGCCGGGACAGAGTCAGATACACCTGGAGCAGGCAGGGCCCGGAGCTGCAGAGGTGGTCACAGGCTCCCAGGGACCCCGGGAGGGCCAGGTGGCACTTGCTCACAGGCTGTCTCCTCGCTGTGCCTTGGGGTGGCCCGGGGAGGGCTCCTTGCTGGGCACGTCCCTGACCTTGTGCCTCTTGGTGCTCTGACCTCTGGGGCCTCCCTGGGCGCGGGGCTGCAGGCAGCCATTCCCGGGCTCTCCCAGGGCCTGGCTCTCGGGATGGGTGCCCTGCCCTGGCGGAGCGCTTGCCGAGGCCTGGGTTGGTCCCCAACACCACACAGGCACACTGTCCCCTGCCCTCAGCACCCCGGGGTGGCCCCTGCCACTCAAGACAGCCACCGAAGCCCTGGGCCTGTGGGGGACCATGCTGG